TCTCTCTTAGTCATGAAAGAAGTAAATGAATAAAATTTTAAAGGTTAAAAAATTGATGTAACTTCAATCATAGAGATTTTAATGTGTCAGATCATTAATGTTTTAATTAACATTTAAAATGAATCTAAATAATATTTCATATGTGTTAGCATTCATTTATTTCTGTACTTTGCTCCCTATTTCTAAATATTCCTAAACTTTAATGAAATATATATTTTAATATCCTAACAACTGTGTTTTCTAGCTTTGTTGTGGTATAATTGACAAATAAATCTGTGTATATTTAGGACTGTCCCTGTAGACTAATGGTTAAGAAAACTGGGTCTCATATGGCTGACTGTGGTTCAAGTCCTGGCCTGTGCATGTGTGCTCAAAATCCTGACAGGATGAAGAAATAGAAGACAAAAGACTGAGGCATCACCACACCTCATTAAGGGGTTCTCTCTCTCTTGCGCTCTCTCTCTCTCTCTCTCCCCTCTCTCTGTCATTGGCAAGCACACATGCTTTTGGCAATTAAAAATGCATATATTTAAACTGTGCAACATGATGGTTTGATATCTGTGTACACTGTGAAAGAATTGCCACAAATGAGTTAGTTAATAATTCTATAACCTCACCTTGTCACCTTTTTCTAAAAATAAGAACTAATTTGATAAGAGCAAGTTTCAAGTGCATAATACACTATTCTTAGCTGTAGTTACCATGCTGTTCATTGGATTCTCAGAACTTATTTGTCCTGTAACTGAAAGTTTGTACCATTTGACCACTCTGTTTTGAATATTCTCCCCAGTGAACCTTGTCGACTTCTTTTTATTTTCCTTTTTAATAAATACTTTATGGCTATAAATGTAAGAATGGCCATTTTTACAAAATTTAGAAAATATAAAAACTATGAAGAAGACAATCATAGTCATAAGAAAAAATTACTAATAATAGAGTTTTAAAATACTTTTTAAAAAATCTGTGTTTTCTCTTTCACTGAATATTTGCCTATTGTTCTAATGTAGTCAGATAAATTTGTGAGGACTGATTTCCTGTAGAGAAACCATTTGTGGGAACCAGCAGTTAGCATAATGACTATGTTGCTGGACTCCCACGTAGTCGACCGCGGTTCACGTCCCGGACCCGGTGGCTTAAAACTCACGCCAGGCGCGTGTGCGTGCATGCTCAAGATCCCGGAAGGAGAATGGAGGAGAAGGGATTGTGGCGTGACCATCCCCCCCGAGGGGTGATTTCTCGTTTTCTGTCTCTATGTCTCTCTCTGTCTGTCTGGTGAGCACACACGCCCTATAGCGAAAACCTCTCAAAAAAAAAGAAAGAAAGAAACCATTTGTGCTTTTATTCATTCATTCTTCCAATTACATTAATATTACTGGGTTATCAGAAAAGTCATGATGCATTTTTTCAGAGACAAACATATAAAATTACATCATGACTTTTCCAGCAACCTAATATTATTATTATTTTTTAATTACTATTACTAATTCTAACAAATGTTAGCACTTACTGCTTATCAGGAACCATGATAAGTGCTCGTAAACAAAATTAGATCCCGTCTTCATAGTGCTTACATTCCTGGATAGAAAAACATCTAACAACCACACAAGTTACTGCGTAATTATAAACTCGGTACATGCCATGAGGAAAAATGTATGGGACCAAACAAGTGAATCACACGAACTCATATTTGAGATATCCCTGAGACTCACACAGAAGTGGATGATTATCTGTTGATGATAATGTGTATGGTATCTTCAGCTGCAATGGTGTGATGTGTATTCATGCTGGGTAAATTCACTTTATAAGACGTAGTAATGTATAGTGATTGAGCGTATAAAATAAATTTTAAAAAGAGAGATGTCAAATAGCGATAGTTTTTATGCATACAAAACTGAGGGAAGACGTGACTTGCCAATCATCCCCCCACACATGGTAATGGAAAATAAGTATAGGTTTACCTGATAAGAGCATATACAGCAAAAAGCATCAGCTTTGCTACCATCTAATGACAAGACAGAGACAGAGGAGCATAAAAGTGATTCTAACACCAGTGAGGTCAGCGAGATAGGAGTAAAACGCACAGTAGATGGTGTTATGGACCCCACAGATGAGAGAACTCTCAGGGAGAAATCAAATAAGGAAAAGATTCGAGAATGTGGCCACTCGTGACCTTATCAAGAGCTAAGTGATGAGGACACTGAAGTGAGTTGTGGAGAATGTATATCGCAGCGCAGACAACCTCTGGGAAGAACTGAGTTGTGTAAAGGAGAAAAAACATGGTCATGTGTAGCCTTAAGGCACAGAAAACATCCATGTGTTTGTTTTCTCTCTCAAGGAATTTAATTGCCAATTGCAAGAGTAGAGTTGAGAGGGTGTGAATAAAGGCACCCCTACACATCTGACTTACTCATTGTAGAGTAAGACCTGGGCAACAAGGAATTAAAAGCCTTCCAGGTCATAGGTCAAGTGTCAGCACACTGGTGGTACAGATGACCCAGGTGGGAAAGTCCCGGGTTCATGTCCCAGAACCTACACGAGCACAGGTGTATGCACACGTGTGCTCATGATCTGAGCCTGCTAAGAGTTGGGGTGGACTACGGAGTGAGGACCTTATTAAATTCCACTCCCTCTGACTCTCTCTCACAGAACAAATAAATAAATAAACTTTTGCAAAAGCTTTCCAGGTTATTCTAACTTGCAGCCATATTTGAGAACCACCATTCCAGGTCACATGGGTCCATGTGTTTAATTTAGAGCAATTAGTCCCAGTTGCCCAGGGTCAGCACTTTTCTAGTGCTGGACAGATTTACCCTGGTGCCAACAATTTCCCAGGATCAACTGTCAGATCTATCCAGAAGAAGTTATCACCCAGTGCTAATCTATATAAGCTTGTCAACTCGGTTCAGAGCATCCTGTCCCTGAGGGGTTCTTTGATCTGCTTGGGTAGGCAATTTCAGAATGATAATTTTAAACATATCTTCCTCAATAAAATCAAGACAAAGCCAAGGAATTCATTCAGCTTTTTCCCTGTCTCATTTTAGTGTGTGAGCAAAGCTTTCAAGCTGATCAGAAGATATCACAAATTAATTTGGAAGTCATTTCATTTATTTAATGAATTATTTTCAAACTTTTCATCATGTCATAATTAACATTTTAATATTGTTTTAAAGTTCTTAAAATAGGTAGATACATACCACCTCAATAATCACGAAGTGGCACAACTGCCTTATACCAGAGGAAGCAGAGATCCCAAGAAATTAACCAGGATAACATAGCTAGAAATAGAAGGCCTTGAAGCTAGATTCTCTGACATCACATCCACAAGCCTCTCAGTGTATCATGTTTTCCTTCCAACGGTGGCAACCAGTGTACATAAACAGCCCACCTAGCAATTTATCTGAATAAGGTACATGCGAAGGGACTGCAAAAAGTCTGTGGAACATGGAATTAAAGTACAATTTCCTTAGAGTAAACAAAATTTTGAAATCCATATGTAGTTTTTTCATCATAAGTATTTTCCATAAACTTTTTGAAAACCCCCTCATACCACGGTTCTTCTTAGAGGAAAAAAGTCCTAACGACAACACTAGTAGGCGAGGATCCCCCCTGCTGTAATATTGGCAGCTCTATTAGAGATCATGCACACGGGGCCTTCATTGTTTGGAGAGGCATGTGGAAAGAGAATTCTTCAGGGATAGCACTACTTTATATTCATGTCGAGTCATATAGTTTTAGAGCTGGAAAAAAATTCTAGCCAGAATCGCTCACTTGATAGAGGTGGATCAAATGGCAGGATAAGAATGAGGTGACGTCACATCTAGTTAATAACAAAGATAATATACACATGCAGTGGTCTTAGATACAGTCAGAATGATTTCTCCCAATTGCATCAGAATAACTATTCAAATTATGCAGGTATTCATAGTTGAGGACCATGACAGAAAATAGAATCTATGTTTAAACCGGGTGAGAAAAACTGTTCTAGAAATCTCTACAATCTAGATTCTGGAGATGCACTCTCCAATACAGTGGCCGTTGTTTACATGCAGCTATTTAGATTGTTTTGTTTTGTTTGTTTTTGCTAAGGGTGCATGTGCTCACTGTACAGAGACAGAGAGAGTAGGAAAGTGAGAAATGGCCCCTTGAGGGGGATGCAATTCTTTCTCTTCCATTCTCCTCTCAGAATTTTGGGCATGCACGTACACGCGCCCAGTGGGATTTTTCAAACTGCCAGGTCTTAGACTCAAACTATGGTGTGGGCTATGTGGGATCCAGCTTCCTTAACCTCCATGCCACCCGCTGCCCTGCTATTTACATTTTTTAAAGGTTAGAAGTCTGGTTCCTTATTCACTCTAGCCTCATTCCAAGGGCTCATGAACTTTACGGTTACTGGCTACCCTACAGAATAGTGCAAGTTATAGGACTTTACCACCATTGCAGAAAGTTCCACGGATGAGCACTGACCTTAACCATGCCATTCCCTGAACTACAGGCATTGCTAGGTTTTTCCAGCAGCACTCCTTAGGCCTTCGTGCAAGGTCAAAAGCCATCCAACTATCGATTGGACATGTTACCCCCCTCTTTGATATGACAATCATAATTAGGAAGGATTAAACTCCTCAGAAGAAAGCGAGTTCGATTGTTCACCCACTAGCATTACCACAGGAGACATGTGCTTCCGTTCACAGATATAGTAAAAGAACGAAAGAAAAAGGAGAGTCAAAGCTAATACTTAATAGAATGACATTATAAAAAGAACCAACAAATGTTTCAAAGCTATGTGAATTAAGCTGGAAAAAGGATGAATATGAAGATGACATAAAATATAAAGATTTATATGTGGAAAAACAACCACAAATACAAGTGTCCCTTAGTAATGTCTGTTTGAGTGCTATGTACGCACGGGTGAGGCTCTGTGACTAAGTCTCAAAGGAAAACAAGATGACTTGGCTTCGAGTGTTCTGAGTTCCTGTCTAATTCTGTTTTGATTTTAATTTCAGATCAATGGTGGAGAGAAGCGGCCTGCCTCTGACATGGGGAAAAAACCAAAAACTCCAAAGAAGAAGAAGAAGAAGGACCCTAATGAGCCCCAGAAGCCCGTGTCTGCCTATGCGTTATTCTTTCGTGATACTCAGGCTGCCATCAAGGGCCAGAATCCTAATGCTACCTTTGGTGAAGTCTCTAAAATTGTGGCTTCCATGTGGGATGGTTTAGGAGAAGAGCAAAAACAGGTAAGAGGGGATTGAGAATGGAGTGGAAACCAACAGTGTTTTCACAATTTGAGACGGTGTATGTACTCTAAATAAATGGGCTCCAAAAGCTTTGGGTAGCTTCCTCAGATACCAGAACTAAGACTAGGAACGTATGTGTTGGAAACAGACTTTAGTAGATATTCACGTAATGTTACATTTCTTTATTACCGCTTTGTCTCAAAGTTTGTACTGTGCAGTTTTGAGAGGGACATTTCTACATCCCAGCCAAGATGATATTGCATCATTCCTTAACACTGCCAACGCGATCATAAAGACAAAAAGAAAAATCCTGAAAGTATTTTGAAAACTGTCTCCACTCTCTTCAGCACTTATTATTAATCCTTTTGTCATCAAAACTCTCTTTGATATTTGCTAAATAAACCTCAAATTGAACGATTTCTACTTTAGCCATTCTCTAACAACTACCAGAGCATGTTATTCAATCCTTGATATATGTTTATACCATATTTCTAGCCTGGGTTAAACAGGACCAGATGCCTGGTTTTCTTCTTCTCTTGTGAATTGCCCTGGTGTGATTGAGGACCATTTTTAGGGCCATGAGAGACTTCATGGAAAGGGAGGGGGAGGGCTCAGTCAATGGAGGTAACCCACGGAAAGAAAGAATTACTGATCCCCTGTTACTAAACTGACCACTAGATGCCCATTATCACCATCTAGAATCTCACGGTCACAAAGAAAAAATGTAAATAGGAATTTTCATTAATATAAGTCATTGGAATGATTAGATTGCGCAACTTCAGCCACTGCAGAATACCGAATTGCATTAATGGATTGGTTTCGTATTTGATTCTTGACAGAGGCAGGACTCTACCTCTCCTTCTTATGTCCTTTAAAGTATGTAAAAAGCAGAAAATCTCAAGCCTATTTATGCATCTACAAGAACTTAGATGTTGAAACTCTATGAAGGGGGTACCTTCAAAAAATTCATGGAAGGTTCTTTCTGTAGAAATATCACACAGAGATTTCAGACATATTTTGCACCAAAATAAATTCGTACTTTAATTTCACTTTTCCATGAATTTTTGAAGTGCCTTGTGTATGTATCAAATCTGTAATATACATAGGGTTTATATTCTTAAAAGCAGTTTCACATTACTTATCTTATGTTTCTATTCAGTAGTTGTGGATATAAGGGAAATTATCCCAAATTTGCAGGTTATGAAATAAAGCCAGACGAATTTAATTGATTGATTGATGCATCAAATATTGTAGAGCACTTATGTGCCAGGCACTGTCCTGGGCACTGGGGGTATAGAAAAGAACAAGATGAGCAGGCCCCACAGTGTTGAACGATTTGTCTAAGACGATAGGCTTGGACATAGAATAACTGTGATTAGAACTCATCGCTCAACTTCAGTCCTCCTCCTAACAAACCCTGTGAAATCAATGACATTGTAATGATAAAACCAGTTGCAAAGGACATAGAATCTGCCCTGGCCAGCTTTCTCCAACTTCCCTTTTCTGTACATCAAAGCTGTCTTCTATAATCTGAAATCTCTACACTTTTCTTATATCCTTTTTTAAACTGTCAGTCTGCAGGGGTGCTTCGTAGAAAGCATGGGCATTCCGTGTGTAGCCCTGTATTGCAGGAGTCATCTTTAAGACCGAGAAACACACCACTGATGTCTCCTCCATGCACTCGATTATAAACATCCCTATTAAGAGAGCAGCTGACATTGTGCTATGGGAGTCTAACAGAATCCTAATAAAGTTGTTTCAGGATTTTAGAGCTGGGTCAGTTTGCTCCCAGATCAGAGACGTGGCTCCCAAGTGACAGTCAGATGATCATGGTGGAACGGTGCAGTGTGACTTCACTCCTCCCCTGAGTAGAGCATAGCTGAATGAGAAGCCAAGCACATTACATACCAGGAATCCCAGCCCCATCCTGTTCTCTGGGCTATGCCACCTTACCACTTCGTATGAAGACATACCTTTCTGCTCCAGGAACCCTGTGTATTCCTGAACATACACCAGGTTCCACTACTATAAAATCTTTCACTTCGTGAGCTAAAATGTCCCAGAGGAGGAGTCCAGAAAGTGATTCCCCTCCCTAAGGGTTGCGTGCAGCAACTCTGGTTCATCAGGACACGTTCGTGACCCCTTCTGCAGGCTCAGCCCCTCTCTGCACTTGGGACTCAGCGACAGAGCTGGGAACATTGCTCCCAGGCTCTTTGATGCTGCCTTAGCTTCTACTTTGTCAGAAGATATATTCCGAGAAGCAGCAGTGGCCCGCACTACCAAGCCACTTAGTTTTCTTACCTTCCCTGACCCAGTTACCTTTACCTAATCATTTCCCATGCATACAACCAGTGCTTCTGAAAGAAGGAGGTCCGCAAAGGCCTTCCTGAGCCTATGATTGTTCCTTTCCAATATCAATATTAAAAATAAGTGTCTGTATTCATATATCAGGTAGAAAAGGATAATGTTCTTATGATGAAAATTGGGTGATTCCTCAAGGCAGTAAATATAAAGCAGCAGGTTTCTCCCTTCTAATTCTATTATAACAAGGCTTTTCCTTTTTATTAGAGCAAAAGGGGATTATTAAGATAGTATTCCATATTCTTTTTTGTCTAGCCATATACAGTATTTATAGAACCAAGTACATGAGAGTCACTATCCTCAATTGTCACATTGAAAAAGGAAATTACTCCCATTCTCCCAACTGGCTTTCAAAATTGAGGTGGAGGCTTCCTATTATGATTACGATTAGGATGTAATATTCAAGGCTCTTTAATTGCATGTCTATGATGACAAAACATTTCTCTCTTCCTCTTTTGCATTGGATTTTCAATTTAATAAGTAACCTGTGACGAGTCTGCCTTTGGGTTCTCTCTTAATTGAAATAGTTGAGGTTTGGGGAGAGAATGCATTTTATAAATAAAGAATGAAATTACATAATAATTGAGCTCTATGACTCGTTGGGCACAATAAAATAATTTCGTAATCAAAATCCAGTGGCTAATACAAAAGTTATGCCAAGATATTTAAGGAAATATCTTGGTAGAAATAACTCTTGTTTTCTTACAAAACAAAAAGTAAACATTTTAAAACTCGAGCACTCATTCGAGAGTTCCCCAAACAAGATTCGGAGAGCAGTTTTGGTCACTCTAACGTGGTTTGCCCCACACTTTCTACTCCCTTGACCTCATGAGGGTTCCACACAGCCTGTCCTTTCCTTGAGAAAGAGAATCTTGCTTAATAAAAAGACTGAGACCACGAATGATGATAAAGGCATGGTTTAAGATGCACGCAGGCTGTAAGCCCATCCCAGTAGGACACCCCAAACGACACACAGAGAGAGAGGCTCAAATGAATGAAATCAGACAAAAGGGAGCATGCTGCCTCGATGGGCCACGTGGCTGCCCTTCCCTGATGGTTGAACAAGTTGCCAGCAGAGCGAACGTGCCTGCCTACAACGCACATTTGGGCATCCAGGAGATGTCAGCAGAACATCCCAGCAAGTGTTATTATGGCGTGTGACCACCTGTTCTTTCTCTTTGCATTGACTCATTGTGCCAACATTCTAGAATATCACTGTTTCAAACTTTAATTCATTGTATTTTATTCGTATTTAATATTCAAATTGGGGAGTACACATATTGCCGTGTATTTTTAAAGGAACGTTCCCCAGAGCCAATCCGAAGCAGACTATTAAACTTCAAAATTTGGGGCCAGTGTCCCTGTTACAGAGCAGACCCACGGGACGCTAGCTGCATTGTGTGTACAGAACAGACCCACGGGACGCAAGCTGCATTGTGTAGGCAGTTGGTTGGGGTCGAAGGCTGAGCTTTCGCGTGCCACAGTTGTTTGAAAATCCTGTTGTCATGTAGCCCACGATTATGAGCAGCTACAAATATAAACAGGAATTGGGGAAAATGGACACAATTATCGATGACTTACTGGGGGCTCAGCAAATTACAATATTTAAGGAAAAACAGCTATTAGTGAGATTACGATTGAATGTTTTCTTGACAGCCAGAGGGAATGTGACTAATAGAGCTACTGTGTGTTTATATCACATGCTTCCTCATTGTGGAGTGTAGGCGGGATAAGAAGCCGCTGCAGAAGGGCAGATCTTTATTTTCAGAATCCATGGTGAGTGAGAAACTATATGTACTTTGGTTTCTGTGAAGAATCTTTCAAAGAAGAGAAATCAAAAGGAAGCTGAAAGAAGCGATAAAAATCCTCCAGGAACACAAAACCTCCCTTATGAATCATTCCTACCAAAGCCGCTGAACAAACTCCACATATCAGAGATCTCTCCATTTTAATACTTTGGAAGATGGTGCTGAATCTGGAATGGGAACCAAATTGTGTTTGGGATTCCAACCGGGGGTTTTAAATGCTAATGACTCGTAAGACAATGAAGAGCCCATTTCAGAAGCATACTAAGTTGTTTAAAAGGCACCAGATGGAGAAAGGGAAATAAAACATAAGTATTGCTGTGATGTTGGTCTCCGCTACTTATCTTTCACTGACTGGAACCTACAGAGAGGGAAAAATAATAAGTGAACAATAGCACGCCCTTTGAATTAGGCTCCTTGGAGTTTCAGCAACCCTCAGCATCTTTTTTATGAGGTTCCAGCTAAATTTCCTGTCTACCTCCATTATTCCCGAGTTCCCTGATTCTAGTCACTGTGGCGTTGAATCCAGGCTCGCAGTGACAGCGCAGAGCAAATCAACCCCCTGTAAAATCAAAGAGCCTGCTCAGCTCTGAAGCAGAAAGTGCAGGTCCAAAGGGGTTAAAGGGTTCCTGGGTCCTTCTCAGCCATGGAAAGCCAGCTCGTAGTGGGAAGCAAAGTCACCTTAAATCAGGACCAGATGTAAATGACTAAATGAACCTTAAGTTCCTAATTGGAGACACAGTCGGGCTGTAATACATTTAGCAAATTACAAACAAAATGTTCTTGTTTACATTACATTAAATGGCTTTCAAGCTGCAGCCAGAGAACTAAATA